ACTGCCCCCCCCCGTCTCCTAACTACCCCCCTTTCTTTCGTCTCCTTCCCCCTGCTCCTCCACCCCTCTCGGTCACCCCAGCTGAGCTTCGCGGACCCTCGGGAGTTAAAGACCAGCCGGCCCTTTTGGGGAGGTGGAGGCGTGGGGAATAAAAAACCGAAATAGCTTCACATCAGAACTCAGACTAACCTTGTGGTTTAGCGCGCACCCTGCTCTGTCCTGAAATCTGGAACTCATTACCTCATCACCAAGAAACTGCACGAAGTCGCCCCCCTCCCAACACCCACTTCTTGGAGTCGGGGAGGGACCGCGCAAACATCCCTCTAAGAAAGAAACCTACACTTGAATGATGTAAATTAAGGTGGATGGAAGCTATTTCCCTTTCTGGCGCTCGCCAGATTTCAAGAAAAGCTGAAAAATGGGAGCAGGGGGAGGGAAGCAACAGGCAGCTGACAGAGCAGAACAGGCGAGGGCCCAGCCAGGCTAGAACCCGGCCGTCCGTTAAGTCCGGGTGGACACAGAAGAGACCGTCGGGACCACGGAGGTTCGTGGCTGCAGCAAAAGTTGTATTTTGCAAAGTTGAAAACCAATTGGCTCCTAAAACGGGTGTGATTTGGAAGGCTTCCCTGGGTTTGCCGGGAGGTTGACGAATAAATAAGAAATGCAGTAAAAATGTGTGTCCGTGTATTGGGGGGGGGCAGGTGAGACTCGAGCGCTCTCCTCGGCCCTCCCCGTCCTTTCCAAAGAAACGTGCCCATAATGGGGTGACCCAGTTACAACGCCAAGGAGCTCCCTCTCAGCCACTGGGCGCACCGGGTTTCATAACAGCCCCGGCGGCCTCGAGTACTGGGAAGACGCGTGCAGGGCCGAGGGGGTGGCCGGGCCGCGTGGACGCGGGAGACACGCAGCCCGCGGCCTCCGCCTCGGGGTCCCCTCACACCCGGGGAGGGCGCAGGAGCGGGTGGGGACACGCTGAGCACTTTTTATTTGGGTGGGTGAGGGGCATCCCGACCGAACAGTAAATATATATTTTATCGTGTTTAAGAGAGCAGTAACCCCTTGCGGGCCCTTGGGGGTCTTGGATCCCATGCCCCCCCACCTCCCGCCAAAACGGCGCAGCGCGACGAGCCATATCTTCCGTTCTCTTGGGGGCGGAACAGAAGCAACAATAAGCTAAAAGTGTCGCCTCCCGCCAACTCTTTACCTTTCTTCTTAGCAAAGTAACTTGTTTTTTCGTTGTTCTAGCGTCTGGAGGTGTGTGTGTGGGGGGGGGAGTGGGGGTGCATCGCGGCCCACTGTCCAGAGCGCGCGTGGACAGTCGTGAGCGGCTCGGTGGGTTTTTATTCGGGGGGGGGGAGGCGTTCAAAAAGGATTCGGAGTTTTCTTTACAAAAAAGTTTCAAAATTGGATGCGTGAAGACAAACGCCACGCCTAGGCCTGTGAAAACACATAATCGGCCTGGGTTGTGGTCTTTTTTGCGCCGTTCCCCCCACCGCCCACACCCAGAGAGCGCCAGCTGTGGAGTTAGCGCCAGTGTAGACGCGTGCTGCGCGCTCAGTGGTACTGTGCTCGCCCCCGCCAGACCGAGTCCTCCCGGGGAAAAAGTTTCCCTAGATTCCCCCGCACTCTCTACCCTCAGCCTCGACCAAAAAAGCAAACAAAAAACCGCCCTTGACTCGGAGGTTTCGTGCGCCCCACGCTCCCAATCCCCTCGCCCTGTGCGGTGTGTGGAAGAGGAGTCGGGAAGCGGCGAGTCGCGCGGCCACTTGGAAAAGTCTGGAGAGTGTCGGGCTCAAGATGGAAACCGCGGCCCGGGCGCTCGGGGCCGGCCTGAGCTCCCGCTGGCAAAAAGAGAAAGTCGAGCCCGCCTTCCTGCCCTGCAAAAAAACAACAACACGACAACAAGAACCCCGAAGCTGGTGGAACGGGTGATGTCACAGAGCCGCGCTCGGAGGCGACAAAAGGGGGTGCCCCTCCCCCCTGCGCCCCGAGGCCCCGGGGAGGGCGCCCGAACGCGGAGCGGCCGACTAGAAACTTTTCCTCTTTAAGAAAAAAAAGTTGTGCGCGGCTCGGAGTGGGGTTTTTTTTCCGCCTTCTTTCCTCGTCTCCCCTCCCCCTTCTTCCTTTTGAAAGTTTCTTCTCCTCCCCCCGCCCTCCCCCCCGCCTGACCGCATGGCTGATTCAACCTCAGTGTCAATCAACTTCTTTTTCCTCCTCTTCCTCATTTAAATAAGTTTAAAGCTCCTCCCCCCCACCCCCCGCTCCCGGCCCACCAAATCTGAACTTTATAAATTGGGCTTTGCGCGCGGTAGCCCGGGAGAGTCAGGAAGGCGAGGGGCCGGCGCTGGCGTGTGGGATCCGGACCCGAGAGCCCGAGGCTGCGCCTTCCCCGCACCGCGACCCTCGCGACCACCCGCCCCGCGCCCCCGCCCGCGCGAACGCCCGCGATGACCACCACCCTCGTGTCCGCCACCATCTTCGACCTGAGCGAAGTTTTATGCAAGGTGAAGGGGGGCGGAGCATCAACTTTTCACGAAGTCTTTCTTTCACCTTAAAAAAGAACCCCCGAAAGTCTGAGTCTTGGGAGGCGGGGGGGGGGGGGGGGGGGGAGCAGGGGTGAAGAGAGATGGTTTTTTTTTCCGCCCGCCTTTCCCCGCAGTTTGAAGGAATTTGGCCCTGTCCTCTCGCCCTTTGAGTTTCAGCAGCTCCTAGCGGGGATTACATGTGAATCTGGAGACCTGAGTTTTGGGGGCCACGTTTGCGTGGCGGGGTTGCCTAGGGGTGCGAGGGAAGGGCCGGGGTCGGGGCGGGTTTGGGGCGATTCTTTCGTACCCAATGCGCTGCTCGAGCCGGGGTGCCCTGGGCGGCGCGGGTTCCCGGGGTGCGCCCTGGGCCTCTGCGCTGCGGGAGGGGTCGACCGTATCCGGCAACCTTACTCTGGCCCCTGGGATCGGGGTTGGGGGTCCTTCGGGGAAGAGAGTCCCGGTAGCTGTTGCGGGGAGGTGTCCTCGCCTGCTCTGGAGGAGCTGGGGATCTGCGAGGAAGCAAAAGGCCGAGAGTTGTGATTCAAAAGATGTTGCAGAACGAGTTTGCGTCCGCCCTAGCCCTGGCCTCCTCCCGCCATAGCCGGTCGTGCTGCAAACTTTGGGGGTGAAAGGAGGATTCGGGTTGACCCGCCGGCCGGGGTTGCAAGGGATCGCGGCTAGTCGATTTGGAGGAAGTCGACAAAGTGCTGGCCTGAACTTAAGGAAGGATCTCCGCGAGTAAAGGCTGTATAGGGGCCTCCTTAAAATGTACAGCTTGCCAGTCGGTGTTGGAAAAAGCAGGGCTTAAAGCCGGAAAGTTCCAGGAGTGCGGCTTTAAAGGTACACAGTGAAAGCCTGTGGATGTTGTTACATTTCTTTCCAACCCCCTCCCCCAATTTGAGAGGGCGAAGCTGCAAGGCTACTTTCAATTGCTGGAGTGTTATGCCTTCTCTTAAACACGTCGGGTCATGTTGCTCTCTTTTCCCAGCTTGCCTCTCCTGTTGGTGCAGCTGCCAGGGCCCCGGGGCTGCAGGCTTGGGGTGCAGGGACGCGAGGAGCTGAAGAGCAACATCAAAAGTTGGACTTTTCAGCTTCCCTCCCTCCCTGGGTTCTCCTGGCCGGGCGGCTGCCGGAGCTCCCAACACGCCATCCTTCTCTCCCTGGCTCTCCCGCCCTTTGATCTATTTCTTTCTTTCGCCCCCTCCCCCTACAGGACTTTTTAAATGAACCTCATTGTTGGGAACCAGCTCTCCACTGGGTTCCTGTAATCCTCTCGGTGGGGTGGCTGTGGTTACGGATCCCCGATGCCCCCTGCAGATCCTAAGGGACCAACTTTAGAATTTGCACAATGACACCCACAGGGATCGGGAGCCAGCTCCCAGGGACCCATCCTGCACCCTTTCCAAATCTGGGATACAGTTTGGGCAGGTTACCAGGGTCCTGCTGGAACAGAGACCTGCCTCTGGTGGCTCTGCATCCCATCTCCACCCTCTAGTCCGCTGTTGATGGGTGGTGGGTGGGGGATTGGGGGCTTTCCTTTTCCTTTTTCATCTGCAGCATTACAGATTAAACACTGGCGCTCTTATCCAAGCCTGCTCTTGCAGCCAGAGGACTAATTGCAAAGGCATCTTCCAGTGAAGGCGGGCGGGTGAAGGTGGATGGGAATGGTGGGAGAGATCACTGTAGAAGGTGCCCCTTCTGGGAACATGGGGTAGTGAGTTTTATTTTCAGGAATCCCATCCCTCCCTACCTCCTCCCCCACAGACCAGGGCCCCATGTCCCTTTCTCCCCAAGAAAAAGCAAAGGCAGTCTGAAAACCTGTTGCCAGAGGAAGGGAACACTTCTGAAGGAGAAAGCTGAGAATCTCAGGCCAGGACATGGGGTGGGGGTGGGGAGTATCAATTAAGCAGACACTGATGAGAAGGGGCCTTTACCTAGCTCATAGTATTTCATCTCCTGGGAGGTTTACCGTTTTGGTTAGGGGAGGGGAATCATGAGATATTTTGAACGAAGAAACCTATTTGGGTGATAAAGAAGCTGGATCACAGATAAAAAGGGCAGAGAATATGGGGGTGCATCTCAGGAGTCAACATAGAGCCGGGTGTCTGCAGAGAGTTATCTGTCAGACCGGTTAGGATTTTGTGGTGTCTTATGCATGGGGCCGAAATAAACCCAGTGGGTCGTCTATGGGCGGAAGAGGGGGAAGCGGGCTTGCGAGAGCAGAGGGGAGGTGGGTCCTTTGAGGATCAGGACCTCTCTGATTGTGGCGGGGGCTGCCTGCAGGGGGACATCCTGGTGGGTGTCCTGGCCCCTGACCACCCTTCTCTCCCCTCTCCAGGGTAACAAGATGCTCAATTACAGTGCTCCTGGCACAGGGGGCTGCCTGCTGGACAGGAAGGCAGTGGGCACCCCCGCGGGTGGGGGCTTCCCTCGGAGGCACTCGGTCACCCTGCCCAGCTCCAAGTTCCACCAGAACCAGCTCCTCGGCAGCCTCAAGGGGGAGCCGGCCCCCGCCCTGAGCTCTCGCGACAGCCGCTTCCGGGACCGCTCCTTCTCGGAAGGGGGCGAGCGGCTGCTGCCCACCCAGAAGCAGCCCGGGAGCGGCCAGGTCAACTCCAGCCGCTACAAGACGGAGCTCTGCCGCCCCTTCGAGGAGAACGGCGCCTGCAAGTACGGGGACAAGTGCCAGTTCGCGCACGGCATCCACGAGCTGCGCAGCCTGACCCGCCACCCCAAGTACAAGACGGAGCTGTGCCGCACCTTCCACACCATCGGCTTCTGCCCCTATGGGCCCCGCTGCCACTTCATCCACAACGCCGAGGAGCGCCGCGCCCTGGCCGGGGCCCGGGACCTCTCCGCCGACCGCCCCCGCCTCCAGCACAGCTTCAGCTTCGCTGGGTTTCCCAGCGCCGCCGCCACCGCCGCCGCCGCCGGGCTGCTGGACAGCCCCACGTCCATCACCCCACCCCCCATCTTGAGCGCCGACGACCTCCTGGGCTCGCCCACTCTGCCCGATGGCACCAATAACCCTTTCGCCTTCTCCAGCCAGGAGCTGGCCAGCCTCTTTGCCCCTAGCATGGGGCTGCCTGGGGGTGGCTCCCCCACCGCCTTCCTCTTCCGGCCCATGTCCGAGTCCCCCCACATGTTTGACTCTCCCCCCAGCCCCCAGGATTCGCTCTCGGACCAGGAGGGCTACCTGAGCAGTTCTAGCAGCAGCCACAGTGGCTCCGACTCCCCCACCTTGGACAACTCCAGACGCCTGCCCATTTTCAGCAGACTTTCCATCTCAGACGACTAAGCCAGGGTAGGGAGGGACCCCTGCCTCTTCTGCCCCCCACCCCAACCCACATCCCCTGCCCTCCCCTCCCCCTCCCTCCCTTCACCTCCCTCCCCTTCCCTTTCCTTCCCGTTCCCCTCCAGCCCTCCCTTAACAAAGTGAAGCTCAGCCCCTTTCCCTAGAACCTTGGAATGCCCCCCAGCCCCTCCCCCCACCTAACATAAGGACAAGCCCATTCGGCAGTAGCTTCTGGCTTGAGACCCCCCTCCCTGGATTCCATAGCCCACTTACCACGCCTAACAGACAAGTCCCATATTTGTCAGTAGATGCCTTTTCTCTGGCTTAAGCCTTAAGTGCCAAATCACAAAAGAAAAAGCAGTAACCGTTTACAGAAGCAACTTAGTGCCTTGTAATCTAACTTTGTCACTGTGACTACATTACCTCTTCAGCGCCAGAGGGCACCCGTGGGCCTCACGGAGCCTCTGCCCATGGGGTGGGGGGGAGACCCACAACCAGCAGCTCCCTCCACTGGCGACACAACTGCACCTTCCCTGTTTTGTCCCCGCACGCCTCTTCCTCCCCTCTTCCTGGTGTCACCCTGCCTCCCTTGGGAGAGTTGTTGCCAGACTTGGGTTTTTGGGGAAGCCTGTCTTGACATTCAGAAACCTTGTTTCTTCCCAACCTGAACCCCTGTTGACTGATCTTGCCTGGGTTTGTATAGGTCTGCAGGAAGGAAGGCTGAGAAAGCGGATGAAGATTTTGTGACTTAAGTGGGACTTTGTGATTTAATTTTTTTTCTTTTTTTTTTAAGTGGGGAGGAAGGGGAAGCTAGATGGACTATGAGAGACTTGATTTTGGTGCTAAAGTTCCCCAGTTCATATGTGACATCTTTAAAAAAAACAACGGAAAAAATGAGAGAAAAGCTTAAAAAAATGTAAGGGGTGAGCAGTTAATGGTATTCATTCCACATACAATATCTGTGTAAAACAATTTCCTGTAGGAGTAGCTTTAATGGTTTTTGCTCTAGAATACCGTAGGTCTATCCTTAGAGCACTCACGCCATGCTTTTTTCCCTGGGTTTTAAACTTCATGTAACTTTCAGAAATTGGAGAGCAAAAATTTTGCTTGTCACTGCACATCAATATAAAAAAGCTTATTTAACTTATCAAAACGTATTTATTGCCAAACTATGCTTTTTTTTGTTAATTTTGTTCATATTTATCGGGATGACAAATCCATAGAATATATTCTTTTATGTTAAATTATGATCTTCATATTAATCTTAAAATTTTGTGACGTGTCTTTTTCCTTTTTTCCACAGTTTTAATATATTATTCTTCAACGACATTTTTTGTAACTTTACACTTTTTTTGGTTATTTTATTTTAAAAAAATGAAAAATTAATTTAAAAAAATGCAAAAAACTGTTGGATTATTTATTTTAGAAATTCCCCCTTTGTGTTGGACTGCAAATTGAGTTTCTTTCTCCTTAGGCCTTTCACAGCTAGGACTGAGAATGTATGTAAAAGTTCTGTGGCAGAACAGAAGGAAGACAGCTTTTTATGTATAGCTTCTAAAAGGGAAAAACAAAAGAGAGAGACCCTTTGACTTCCACGCGCCCATCTCAAGACATTCCGCCGGCAGATTCGAGGCTCTGGACTCCCAAGTGTGGAGTTTTCCAATGTTAATGTAAACAGAACTGGCACACACACCTTAAGATGAATGTAATTATGATTCCTCTTGCTGGTCACTACCGTCGCTTTCTATTTCTCTTTCTTTGTGTGAATTTATTTAAAAGAAAAAAAAACTTTTTGTAACGACTATTTGCAGTTTAAAAATCAATAAACCCCATTTTTTTTTCAAGAAACATGGATGGTGGAGCTGGTTTTCCTCTGGTGAAGGTCCTGGGGGTGGGAGGGGTTGCCATCCTTTCAGTTAAAGTGACAGAACTCCAAGCCGAGCTCAGAGGGGCTGGGGTTGGAGATTTTTGGCCAGGGAGCCTCTGCTTCCTGCTGTGCTACTTCTGCAATGACTGCCCCGTGTGTTAATTGGTGACCAAGGGGCAGAAGGGCCAACACTTGTGTGGTCTCAGAGGTTCTGGGGAACCAACGTTCAAGGGGCTTCCGGTCTTCCCTGCCCAGCCTGTGGTCTTCATCCCTTTGGGTGATGTGTGGGGTATGGAGGCAGTGAAGGTGGGACATGGTACTTGGCATGCCGGCAGGCCTGGATTTGAAGGAGTTTTTGTATCTGGGTGCTTCCCCATAGGAAGTTCACCTCGAGTCCTGGCCTCTCAGCACCTGCCTGTGGTGGGTGTAACGAAGGATTGCATACCTGAACAGGAATGTCTGGACATCAAGGGACTAGGACTGAGGTGGTTCCCTCAGACTTGACATTGCCTCTGTGTCGAGGGCTGTTGAGGGGCAGTGGGTATCAACACCGATAACAGCGTAGCAAGTTGCCCGTGGTCCTTAGTCCTAGTGACACCTCTGACACCATGCAGAATTAGGCAGAGTGTCATCTTGGGAAGGATGGGATCCCCTTGGTTGGAAGCACCCCAGCCAACACTAGATGGCCACTTAAGGTGACATTTCATCTGCTGGAGGAGTTGGACCTTTCTAAAAACCTCGAGCCTGGGCCTTGGGAAGATTTCTTCTTAGGAAGACAGAGACAGTGCTCTTTGAGGTTCAGTTGCCTTTGGTTCTTCATACCCAGTAAGTTTTGGGGTATTAGCTGATTCTCACCCTCATTCCACCCAAAGGCCTCTCCCAAAGGTCTGCAGCTGACATTGACTGGGCCCGGGCTGTCCCCAAGACTGGGAGGCCTACCTGTACCCTCTGGGCTCTTCCTTCTCGGGCCAGCAGGTATCTACTGGGGGACAGTGAGGAGGAAAACTAGGAACTGTTCAAGGCAGGGGCTGGTGGTAGCAAGGGGAAGAGAAGCCCTTCCTGGAACTGGAGTAAGCTCAGCCTCTTTTCCCTTAAGGAGGGAATGACTCTGTGTGTGTTTGGGGCGGTGGTTTGTTGGTGGTGGTGGCATGTGATCTTCCTCTCAGACTAAAGGCAAGAAAGACATCTCATGAAATCGTTCACCCCAGGTCCTGCAGGTGCACCTGAACACTTCAGAGACCTCTTTCTAATTCCCCCTGTCACAGTGACGCTGGGTAGGTTGGGGTCCCAGAGGCTCCCCCTCCCCCTCATCCTCCCTAGATGTAACAAAGATACTGACATTGACTCCTGGAAGCCCTGTGAAGTTCAGGGGACATCACGTGGCCCCTTCCATGTCCCCAGACCTCAACTTTACCCCACCTATGTGTCTCCCTGTGGAGTCACATAGGTGGGGATTTAGATCACCTGCCCAAGTGTGGTAGCCCCCAGGGCCTGGTTTGTGCCATCTGGACCTTAAAAGCAGAGGAGATGGGCCCAAAGTTACCCAGGAAAGGAAGCAGCAGAACCTTTCCAGGCTCCTGACTTCTCCAGGGTGTTGGTAGATGAAAGGGTCTTGGCGGCTGTTCCATGCTCTAGGCTGGCAGGGCAGTATGAGCCCAGGGCTGGCAAGGACCCCCCATCTCAGAGTCCCTCTGCAGTTGGAGAGGATGGAGACCATGCAGAGGGCTGAGAGGTGAGGCCTACCCAAGAGCAAGTGGGCAGGAGAGGCAGGCCTCCTGCCCCCACCACAGCGCAGGACCCTGAGACACCTTGGGTTTAGGAGCCTGCACCCGGTCTGCCCTGGGTGGGTGGGGCCTCCACAGCACTGCTGGCAGCAGCTCAAAGAAAGGAGTTATTTTGGTTCCTGAGCAATGACTTGTCTTTGTTGGCCTGGAAGCCTCATTGCCAGGAGGGAGGCCGGGCGGGCTCTACCTTGGCGGTGCTCTGGGGAAAGGAAGGCCTTGAAGGGCCAGCAGAGAATATGGGGGCAGGCTTAAGATGAATTTTGCCGTCAATTGGATCACAGAGCACTGGTTACTGAAAGGACCCAGCAGGTCATGGTGGCGGGAGGGAGGTGGAAGACCCATGGTCTAAAGGAAGGAGGGGTGTGGGTGGAGCCCTTCGACCTGGGATCAAATCCCAGCTCCACTTCTACCAGTCTGTGCTTTGGGTAAGTGACTTAACCATGGATGTTTCAATCTCACCTCCAGGGGTGATTGTGGATCAAGTGAGCCTCTTAGCAATGACAGTTCCTCACGAGTGCCAGGTGGTTTTCTGAGCACTTCGTGTATGTCATTAACTCATCGAATGATCACAGTGACCCCATGGAGGAAGTTCTAGACTATCCCCAGTTTACCTAAGGGGTACAGGGATGCTTATCAACTTGTCACATGGCGAGATAGTGTCAGGATCTGAGCCCAGGTAGGTGGGTTCCATCATAGCTCTGCCATGATGCGAGTGTCATCATCGGCTGCTGGCATGCCCAGTCCAGGCGCACAGTCACTGCCCATGACCCATGCGCCTTCCTGTCTCTGTCAGCCTTCTGTGGTGCTTCTGCAGGAGCATGAGAGGCCATCAGTTGGGTTAGATGACTCTGCACACGCTGAGTGCCATGATCTAATGTCTCACAAGGCCCTGCGGGTGCATCTGGAGGAGGGGGCCAGGGAGGAGGGGATAGGCCATCCCCTTGGACTTTCCCCTGCTCTGCCTGCTGAGCGGAGGCTTCCGTTAATGATCGACAGACCAAGGGGTGATCCAGAGCTGCCCTGGGGAGTTGGCCTAGGGCCCTTATTCCCCCAGGGTCTCCCACCCCTGTGTGTAGCCAACCATTTAATCATGTCTGGCTGGACTGACCGGAGCTACCTGAGTTCAGAGGGAGAGGAGGCGGGGAGGTCAGCCAGGCCCTGGCCACCCCCTTGTGGCCTTGCCGGCCTTGCTGGTGACACTTCCAAGGCCTGAGGCAAGGATTCAGCATGGGGAGCAGGGCAAAGCCCCGGCTCTTTCTTCAGGTCAGGTCAGCACTTGGGGGTCCTGCCCCTTGGGCCAGAGAGGAACCTGGCCCCCAATACTTTAGGTGGGAGTCCTACATGGTTACGTCTGAGTTGCTGTTGTGGGAAACTGGACTCTGAGGAGCCAGGCAGGGGCTGCCCATGAGAGCCAGCTGCAGGGCGGAGGATGAGGATACCTCCACGTTTGGACTGTTTGTCGTTGTTTTGAAATGTTGGTAAAGCCTGGGTTTCAAAGTGCAGGGCCGCGAGTGATGACTGTCCTTGTGCCCTGAGCCTGGGGTCCAGTGAAAATCAATACTGGCAAGGGCCCAGACCAAGGCAGTTTCTCACCACCTGGAGCCAGTCAGGGGCTGCCCCTCGACTCCCAGTTGTACCCTAGGGAGAAGGATCTCAAGGCCGCGTGGGTCTGAGTTCACTTCTGCTAGTCCCAGTACTCTAGGGCTGTGGGAGGCTCTATTGCCCAGGGTAAGGAGCTGGTTTGCAGTTAGAGGGACCTGGGTTCAAGTTTCTCCTTGGCCTCAAGGTTACTCTATGACTATAAGCCAAAAACGTAGTAAGCCGCTTAGAGCCCAGTTTTCCCATTTGTAAAATAGGATGATGGTGATGATGACAGTTACATCCACATTGCTGAATAAACAAACAATGGCACAGTCACACAATGGAATACTATACAGCTGTGGAAAAGAACAAAATAGAAGCACAACAACACAGATGAACCACAGTGTCATAAAATGGAGTGAAAGAAGCCAGCTGCAGCGGCGCACATATTGCAGGAGTCCATCTGTAGGAAGCTTAGAAACAGATGAAACTGATCTATGACAACAGCGATTCCATCAGAAGATGGAGTATACTAGTAGAACCCCACGGGGCTGTGTACTGAAGATTTGAACACTTTATGTAAATTACACCTGGAAAATACAAACAACGAGCTGTTGAGAGTGTTAAATAATAAATGTAAGAACAAAAAGAAATTCAATACCTGGCCCACTGTGGGCACTTGATGAATTGGATGTGAGTATTATTCTGTTCCCCTTTTCCAGAAGGAGGGAATGCACTCGGGGCAGAGGAGTGGCTTTCCGGGAGGAGGGTGGGACATAGGGTTTTCATCTCAGCTGAATTGGTCTCAGCCTGTATGCTCCCCACTCCCCTGCACTGCCTCTCTGGGAATAGGTGTTGTTTCTGCAGAAAAGCCACATTCAGAGTGATCTGGGCATAAGCAAATCAACTAGTAAGTGCCACCATCCACATTTGAAAAGAGTTTTTTGACCAGGCGCAGCAGCTCACGCCTGTAATCCCAGCACTTTGGGAGGCTGAAGTGGTTGGATTGCTTGAGCCCAGGAGTTTGAGACCAGCCTGGGCAACATAGCGAAGTTGCATCTCTGTCTCTATAAAATAAAAATAATTAGCTGGGTGTGGCAATGTGCACCTGTAGTCCCAGCTACTCGGGAGGCTGAGGAGGAAGGATTGCCTGAGCCCAAGAGATTGAGGCTGCTGTGAGTTCTGATGCTGTGAGCTGTGATCATCATGATTGTCCTACTGCACTCCAGCCTGGGAGACAGACTGAGACTCTGACACAGGAAAAGAAAGAAAAGCATTTTTCCCTTTGCAGATTTAAAACACACCTCCTCTGGCTATCTGGTGCCTCCCGCATGTGGCAGGTAGTAAAGGGAGGCCAAACTGGGGCTCACTGGGCTCTGAGGGGCTGAGAGAGGACAAGCCTGCTTGCCCCATGGGCCGGCATCAAGGGGCTGTGGTCCCAGGAGCCCCTCCATGGGCTGCTCTCCTGCCTGACCTGGCCCACCCCTCTCTGAGGCAGGTGAGGGTGGTGAGGCTCTGAGGGCTGGCTTTGGGAGGCCCGGGGTGTCCTGCTGGCCTAGCCTGTCCTCCTGGCCCTTGGGCTCAAGGGCACCTAGAACCCTCCTGTGACCATCTCA